TTTCAGTAACATGATTACTGCTTGGGAATAGATCTCTCTCTTTCAGTGTCTCTCATCCTCTCTTGTGAATGGACTCAAACCAGTAATTTTCTAAAGCAGAGGATTAAGCTGGTGAGGTCATGACCCTTGCTCATGTCGACACCCACCTCGTTGCACATGTCACACACATGCACTCACTTGCACACACGTGTGTTATTTTGACTTCAGCTTGGGCAGCCTGGTAGGCAGAGGAACACCCATGGTCCCCTTTCCTCCATCTCCAGGCGGAGCACATAGTGGTCAGCAAACAGCAGCTCATGAGCCACATGCGGCTCTTTGGCCCCTTGAGTGTGGCTCTTTCATGAAATACTACAGCCTGGGTGAGTCTATTTTGAAGAAGTGGCGTTAGAAGAAGTTTAAAAAATGTGGCTCTCAAAAGAAATTTCAATTGTTGTACTGTTGATATTTGGCTCTGTTGACTAATGAGTTTGCTAACCACTGTCCTAGAGGAACTACCAATTTATTACAAATTCTGTCTCCCTGTGCTCAGGGACTAAGTGGGGAGTGGGCACAGAAAGGCAGTGACTATGTTCCCCACATGATGCAGGCCTTGCTACCCTCAACAGAGTGGGGGAAAAGGCATGTTTAGGGGATTTTAAGCAGGCTATTCTAGGACATGGAACACAGGTATGGATGTAGAAGAAAGGGAAGTGAGTGAAAAAAATAAAATATATTTTCCGTGTCCCCTTTCCTCCCTGTCTTTGACCACTTCTGCTTTAGTTCAGTGTGCTCATGCCCATGACTGCTGGTCTGAAGCCATTTTCCCAGGTAGCAATCACTCTTACCATGTAAGGATCCTAAGGATCCCTAAGGGCTCTGAGCCCAGGATGGGGCACCAACGTGGAGGGTTCTGAGGGATGCCCAGAAGAGGAAACATATCTTCTACCATGCTATTGCCCAAGTTACTGCCTTTGTCTGAATTCTTCTTCCTCTCCCATCACCACTTATACTCCAAGATGCAGCTCAAATGCAAGTTTCACAGGAAATACTTTCCTAATGTCCCCAGCCAGAAACCACCCCTCCTTCCAGGACCTCAAAATCCTGAGTGTCCTCTGGGAAATAATGGGTTTCTCCCGCAAACCTTGGAAAATCTCAAAGGATGAGCAGTGTCCAAGCTCCCAATTCATGTGGTTTTTGTGTCTATTTCTGGAAAAAGTTATTATGGATCTGAAGTCAACTGCCAAACTGTGGCTTAAAAAGCATAAAATATATAAAGCAGAGGAGATGTAAAGTTTCAACACAGTAGCTCTGACTGTTGAATCAGCTTGTTGACAGTTTTGCCAACAGGTGAGAGTGTGACAGCATCATCCCAGCTCCAATGATCAGGGGTCTGCAAAGAGACCAGTCAGATCTAAAGCCTCTCATCCTATGGCCCTAGGATCTTAGTTTAATGATTATTTGCTCAAAACAAAAAATTACCTTTTCTCATGTTTCCACTATCGCAGTCAGAATCGATGCCATCTACACAGTCGTGCAATTCAGAAAACTAGAAGTCATCCTTGGCCCCCTCTCTGCCTCCCCCTCCACTCCCAATCTGCCATCAGATCTTGTAATTTTAAGTACATCACTCAAATCCATCCCCTTTCCCCCCAACATCCTAATCAAGCCATTATCATCTGGACCCTGGATAATCCCAGTAGCTCCTATACTCTTTATCTGTACTCTACATGTTTGGCTTCCTTAAGCAGCTAGTTTGATAGCAAATTGACAGCTCATTCTTCTAGTCACTGATCCAGCCAGCCAGAGGCGTCCTGCTGCTCCCAGGTGGGGTGCAGTCACACAGCCCGATTGGCCATGGCAAGGAATTTGAAATTATTTTACCCTTCAGTCAGCATCCTCCCTGACTCTCTTTGTCTCTCTAGACTCCAAATGTCATGACCTTTCCTGACAGCATTTGCAGACTGCCTTTCTCTCTGCCAAGGACGAGCCTCCTCCTGGTTCGAGTTTCAGCTTAGTTCTTTATTTTTAGTTTAATCATCATTTGCTCCCTTTACCCAACAAACTAGACCATGCTCTTCAAATTTTATGGGCTCCGAAGTACCCCATGCTTCTGGCTCAGCACTCTTACCACAGTTTGTAATTAAGACATTAAGCCATGACAGAAATATATCATTCTTCGTGAAAGGTGTTATGTTAGGAGCTAAAGGTGCCATGGCTGACTTCTCATTCTTGTATTCCTGGAAGATGGCACCTGGTATCCTACGTTCCTGGCACCTAATAGAGCCCAATGTACATTTATTATAGGTGAATGAATGGATTGATAAATTTGTAAGTGAGTGAAGCATAGAGCTGTGAGTAAGGACCAGAGGCAGTTAGTCCTTGGAAGAAAACTCTAAAGATGATAGCTGAGCTGGTCTCTGGTTTGTTTTCCTTGTTTAGACTACTCCTGGCCAGTAGAATGTGACCACTGCAAAGAACATGCACATGTTAAGCAGTGGACAAGGGACTGACTTCAATCTGGTGGTGGTCAGCAGGGGGGGAGGGGTGTCTTTGGGCACAAATCTTTTCCCGGATATTGGAACCTGGGCTTCATTGGGCCTTCCTCAGACTAGCCTCTTACCTCAAAATTTCTTCCCTTTTTTTTTTTTTTTTTTTGAGTTAATTCTGAGAGAGTTAGGTTGAGCATTGTTCAATATGATGAGCTGTCTAGATTTTAGAAATGGCCTCCTAACTTGTCTTCCTGGCTTTAGTTACCCCCAAGTATCAATCACCCTGACAGTATTGGCATTTGAATTTCCTAAAGCAGAACCTTCAATCTGTCACTCTCTGGCACAAAATCCTACTTCTGTTTATAGGATGCACTCAAGTGGTGTAACTGAGGACACTTTAATCCTCAGCTCAAATAATCCTTTCCTTTCTAATATACAATTAACTTTAAGGCACACTTTCTAGTCTTGTTGTGCCAGAATTATTACCCAGGATGCAACACTGAGATTTCTCTCTAGCCTTATCCCATAGTCCCAGTCCAATTGTAGCCAACCCTGGTTCCTAACACACACCCACTGCTCTGGGTGGTCTTTTCTCTCTCCTGGCCCCTCAATGTCCCAAGTCATCTCTCCCTGGCAGAGTTGAATTAATAATAAAGCATATAATTATGCTTTTATTGGGGTTTTTGGTTAAAATTGTATAGGGTCTATATATTGTATTGTGTGCTTACCATCCCAAGTCATGTCTCTTTCCATTACCATTTAGCCCCCCTTTATCCTCTCCAGCCTCTCCCTGCATTCCCTCCTTTCCCTCTGTTAATGACCATACCATTGTCTGTCTACGAGATTTTTTTTTTCTTAATCCTTTCACCTTTTTCACCCAACTCCCCTATGCTCTCTTCTCTGACACCTATGAATCTGTTTCTATTTTGTTAGTTTATTTTTATTAGCTTCCACATATAAGTGAAATCATATGATATTTGTCTTTCTCCAACTGGCTTATTTCATTTAGCATAATCCTCTCCCAGTGCCCCCAACCTTTCCTTGTGTGTTCTCTTTGTAAATGACAGCAGGCCTCTGCATTGGTTAGGATAGGCCAAGTTATGCTGCAATAACCAATTCACCTCTAATTGCAATGCCTTGACACATAATAGATGTATTTCATCACCATGAATCTTATCCAGTGCAGTTCAGCACAAAGCTTTCTTCTCAAAGAAATCAGGGACCCAGGCTGACAAAGCCTCTACAACCTGGAATGTTTCTGGGAAACATAGAAACTTCACGTGCTCTTCTATTTGGGCCCAGAAGTGATACATAGCACATCCCCTCACAGTCTATTGTCCCAAATGAGTCACCTGGCTCTGCCTAAGGGCATAGGAGTGAGGACGTGAGGGCAGCATGTGGTAGTGCAGGAGCAGGATATGCCTCTGCCAAAGCGAGTAAAGCGGAAGTGCGTAGGAATTCTCAGTAAAGGTCTGTATAGAGTGGGAGGCAATGCCAATTGATTATCTCTCTATTCTGAACACAATCTTTATGCCTGGAGGGCTTATTAATTGACTGGAGGCCAGACTTTGGCCTTGGCGTAATATTAGCTCTGTATTATGTTTGTCTTGTTTCTCTTATCAGATGATAAATGCCTTTCCAATATTAATAAATAACTTCCACAAGCGGCAGGGATAGAGGAAAGCGCTCTGGGTATGAGTGGAGCTTTATCTCTGGCAAGTCGCATGATGTTGGGCTAATTACTTAATCCCTGAATTCAGAACAGCATTGAATTTCAGAGCAAGGATACAGGACTTCCTTAGTTTAAATACCAATTCTGTCACCCACTATATGCACAACTTAGGGAAATATAAATCTCTCAAAGCCTCAGTTTTCTTATCTGTAAAATTGAGATGATAAAGTATTTACCTTAAATGGTTATTGTAACCATAATGTGTGCAGATTTGTTTTGCCCAGTCTCTGGCACTCAATAAATGCTTGCTTTTCCTGGCTGGTCTCTGAACCCTGGCTTCCAAGGCTTCCAACGATGAATCCTGCCATGAAACAAACATCTAATGCAGGCTGGGGCACAGAGTAGGTGGCTAGTAGATATTGAAATGAATGAAATATAATCATTAAGAACAGGAGGCTTTTCTAATTGCTTGGCACCAGATATATTTCCCGTGAATATGATTGTTTGCATTTCAAGTGAAAAAGCGCTCGGAATAATTTCTGGCACAGACAGGCTGTCCCTCCTGGGGGCTCAAGACAATCTCCATGGCCTAAGAAATGATGCAACTCTGACCCTCTTGTCCCCCATTCATCACACCTCTTGTACCCCTGTCCAGGTGCTAGTTGAACTAGTGGCCCTGCTCTGTGCTTGGTTGTGTTAGTATCGCTGGTGATAAACTGTTGTCTTCAAAAGAGGAAGCAAGCTGCTATTTCTCTGGCCTATCTCATTTTTCTCTTAGAGACAACGCAGAGCGAATCATATTTCTCTCCGAAGTCTTTATTTCCCTGTCAATAAAAACATTGTTAGCTATCTGGGTGGGCAGGGCTTAACATTGGCATATTCATTTGGTCAATCCTGTTTCTATTCCTTTATTAACCCTGGTTTGGTGTTGGACAGTAGAAATGCTGGCTCCTTGAAGATCAGAACTCTCAGGTACAGTCAATAGCCAAGAGCTCTTAATTTGGTTTGGAATCTTGTCCTCTCATTCTTTTGATAAACATTATTATTTGTCTCTGAGTAACAAAGAGTGGCATCAGAGATGGCTGGGGATGGTTTAATGGAGAGGGAAGTGAGTAAGAGTTTGATCTCTGGAGTCAGATTGCCTAGGTATGAAATGTGCCTTCACCAACTTAGGATGTTTCTATATCTATTTATTTTATATTTTTTGAAATAATAAGTCTAAAGTACTTGGCCTGGTGCCTAAAAGGAAGTAAATAGGCAGTAACTTCTAGCATTGATAATGAGTATTCAATGTTCACTGAGGATTTAAAAGCATCACTTACTCATCAGGAGCCTTTTTTGTGAAGGGTTGGAGTTCATCAGGAAACAAAAATCTTGAGCTTACAGGATGATGATGGTACTGCGAATGGTTCCTGTCCTCTGGGATCTTAAAATCTATTGGGGGAAATAAAATACATTTATGTGTTGCCATGGCCTTACCCTGAGGTATTTGCAGCTCAATGAATGTCCCCTACTACATGCAAATGAGATGATTGAGAGTAAAAAAAATAAATAAATAAAAAATAAATCTCTGTTCAGTGTTGGACCTCTACTGCTTGGTTTTCTGAGCATATTAATAAGTTTCTTGTATTAACTTTTCAACTTCATGATAGTGGGTTGTCTCTCATGGGTGAGAAAGATGGCTCATGGAGACTCCATTAAACCAGATAAACATGCTAGGGTGTTGTAGGACAGAGTTCACTCATCTATTCATTCAGAAATATTTTTCTAGCAACTAGGAGGTGGCAGGAAGAGTGCCAAGCACTGTGGGGAGCACAGAGATGAGTGATGAGTCACACTTCACCAGAGCCAAGGCCACGCTTCAGTGGCTATTTCTCTTAGGTTGTGGTGTAGCAACTCATTCTTCCATCCCTTCTCTACCACGGGTCCCTCCCTTAGGGAAGAGGGGGAGGAGCTGCTACTAATGGAAGAGTATTTGGGCATAGAACAATCCACTGGAACACAGATTCAGAAAAATAAGGGAAACTGTACCATCCTCTGCCATCTGACAGTGAATAATACCAATGTCTCGAGAGAGAAAAAATCAATTATGTGAACACCTGACCTGTAATTCAGTGAGAAAGGTTCCACCCTTGAGTCAATACCTTCTACAGTTGATGTTTTGAGGATTTGTCATGAATGACAAGAGAATGTTAGTACTGCAGTGATTTGAGGGTTAGCTGGTTACTCTTAGGTGCTGTATTTGTGTCACAACCAACTCCTGGTGTCACCTTGTCAAGATCTTGTGCTCAAAGACAGGAGGAGGTCTCTGGGATGGAGAAGATCTCCTGGGTGATGAGTCTGTGAGGGGGGAGGAGAGTGCCGTCCATTCTGCAAGCAGTTAGTTGCATGTGTTCCTACAAACAGCCTAGTAGAGGTGACAGGAAAGAGGTGTGTGTCTTAGGTTCCTCAGTGGTAAAATGGGGCAAGAGACTTTCTCAAGGTCTCAACACTAGCAAGGGTCAGAGAGGCATCTAAAACTCAGGTCTCTAGGCTCCAAAGTTAGTGCCATTTCCATCATTCCAATCTGCCCACTACTTGTGACATGGACTTGGCTAAGAAACTTCTGGAAGAGTAGATGATTTCTCAAAAGCACTAGCTACTCAAAAATGAGAATGAGGAAAGCTAAAACAGACTTCTTTACTGCAGGACATCTCAGTGCCTTTACAGGCTCACCCAAGTGATTCCTTGAAGCTATTCAAAACAGGGAGAAAGGATCCGGTGACCTCTTCAACTATGTAATTCCTTCTTCATGGATTACATTGTAAAAGGCACTGTTCTAAGAAATGTGCTTGCAGAAACTATGCTTTATTTTGCAATTTTCTTCTTTAGTTTCCTCTAAAACTGCAGAGACATTGCTATGAGCCAAGGAAGATTTTGGAGGGATGGTAGACCAAAGATTTGTCATATCCATCCCTCTGTTCTTACACAGGTCTGTATCTCTAAGGTCCAATATCCCCACAGAGAAGGGCTTACCTAGAGGTCAGGAGACTCTGTCACCTCCCTGCAGTGTGACCTTAGGCAGGTCCATGTCCCACATGCATCCTCAGGTTCCTCTCCTATAAAGAATGCACGAGAGTCATTGGGGTACTTCATTAAGATACAGAATCTTGAGCCTCACCTAGAGATTGCAATTCGATAGATTTGTGGTGAGGCCCTGGGGTCTATGATTGTCATGACAGGTGATTGTGGTCTTGTGAAAGCCTGTCTACACAGGACCCAGGAGAGATTTATTTAGACCTGTGAGAACCACAGGGATGAGTGATCACATCCAGCAAATGGCCTGACTCTGAGCAGGTGACCTTCTCTCAGCCCCCATCTTCTTCTTACCCATCTTGATTATTCTTTTCTGATTCACCGCTAGATGGTAATTATTCACTAAAAGCCCTCTTGGGAGAGAGAAGACTCCATTTGTTTATCTACAATTCATTGCCCATTACAAGGCACTAAAAATAACCATAAATCGTGTCACACTTTCAAGGGTGTATTCTGGAAATACCAGCATGATAGGATTATAATTTGCTTAAAAGCTGCTTTGATACCATGGGTTCTAGAAGAGAAGTTGGCCCTTTTAGGAAAGTTGTTCTGCTAAACTCAGAGTTACATAATTCTAAAGCTCTGTTTGGAGGCAAGCTGCCAACTGTTTGGGTTGCTGAAGAAACAATCATTTTCCAATTTCACTTCAAACCAGGCGTGGTTAATAAACTTTAAAATTAGAGAGATTTCCTAGTGAACATATATTACTTTGGTAATCAAACATAAGTTATTAAAAAAAAAAAGTTCAGAGAACTGGGAAAATGAGAGTATTGAAATCTTTTCCCCAGAGGGCCAAACTGGCAGAGAAAATTCTGAGGATGAAAAGTTCTTAGAGGCCCATTCCTGCAACCAAGGTGACCTCCTCCGACATTTTTTCTACTGGCAGAGGGTAAGAACAAGCAAAGGCTACAACACAGCTGTGCTGCTTAGCTTCTTGTGCTCATATTTTATACATGCTCTTCACCTTTCCTTTTCATGTAACGTCTTAACACAAAGTGCTTCCCCAAGTAGCTACAAAGCCTTGCAACTTGATATACATTGACTGCCTTGTTCTCCATCCCACAAAACACTATAATTCATTTCACCATTGCCCTCTTGTTGGGCATTTTGGGTGTTTCTATTTTTCCCCCTCTTGTAGAAAAATATACTGTGATGAACTCTCAGTGCATAGTTTTCTGTATGTAAAATTATTCTCTTAGGGGAGATTCTAATACAGATGGGAGTTCCAACCACAGCAGTGTAGATTGTCCTCTTTAGTTTCTCAATATCTGGGGGAGTTTTTTAAGACAAGCTGGTCTGAAGTCACATCCTGGGAAGGATCTGACTTTAAAGATTTATGAAAAAAAAAAAAAAGCTAAGTAACTCCAGGTATAAAATCAAGATGCAACTATTAGGTCTAGTAATAATTAATGTCGTTTTCTAATACTTTTTTTTAAATCGAATTTATTTAAACAATACAACAAAATTTAATCAACAATAACTACTAATTGAGTTCTGTATGTTTAATTACTTAAATCTTTTGCATCTGTATCATCTTGTCACTCGTTTATCACAAAACAGCTAAGATATTGTAAAAGGGTCAACCCTGTTTAAGCCAGAAAGTCTAGTTCATGCTAGTAACAGTAATATCTTTTATTATATTCAACTTACACATTAGACAGGAAAATACTCTGACACAAGTAATTTCTCACGTGGCCATTACTTCCCACCAGAAGAGTTGTTTAGTCTGAAAAATGGCCAGATAATAACTAAAGAACCCAGCACACCTTGAAGGAGGGGGTAGCTAAGTCCACAGGGCCAAGCAGAGGCCATACCCATGTCTGGGGCTGCATTTCTTCATTCCCAGACCTGTGGTTAATGGGAATGCTTAATCCCACTACCACAAATCAGTCTTCACACTTTTATCTATCTCTGCATGCAATAGAGGGCACAGAGATTGAATCTAGGGGGTAGGGTGGGGGGGCAATATCTAGAAGCTACCACTTCTGAGTGGGAGACTTATAAGTGTCAATGGATTACCTACAATTTGATTATGTATAACTCCAAAACAGCAGTTAAATACTGAGGACCCTAAGGAGGGACCTAGCTAACAAGCAGGAAAGGCAAGGACATCCGAGATTATCCTTTAAGAAAAAAATAGGTTTACAAGCCAAGGAATAGGTATGTGTATTGGGAAAGGACATTCAACCCGGAGAGCACAGAAGTGGCATAAATTGAGAAGTGGTAAAGGGCATGAAAACTTCTGGGGATGGTAATATAAATCCAAAACCATCGGCTCCTAAGGCTTGGAGGATGGAAGAAGGGGAGACAAGGTGATAGGTGCTGGACACTAGTGGCTTGTAGGTCATTCTAAGAAGTTCGGACTCACAGCACTGGGTGAAGGGAGTAAAAAATGTTTTGAAAGTTATGTGGAAGGAGAGTGTGTGTGTGAGACAGCTAAGGTCATTTGCATAAAATATCTCCCTGTGTGAATGAGGGTGAAGAATATACTGGAGGATTGACATTTGTGGCTGGGAGACATTTATGCGCTCAGTGCAAGGAGGCAGGTGAAAGATGAGGATAGTCTAAGGCAGGGATGGACAGCCAGGTTGAAGAGGCCATATTTAAGGCACTAATGGAAGTGAGTGTCTCTCTTCAAAGAATTGGCAACTGAGGATAACATTAAGATTTTGTTAGGGAGAGTGAGAGGAAAACGAGAGCTGGAGAAGCAGTTTGAGAGAAGGGGGATAAGAACATGAGTTACCTTTGTGATGTTTAAAGGGAATCCAAGTGGTGGTGTGGCAGCTGGAGATGTGAGCCCAGTCACAGTCTGTACAGTTGAACACGTTTCATCATCCAGAGAGGACAGGCAGAAGGAAATAAGAGGAAGGAACATGCTCTCCATTAAAAAAGGACCTGAGGGGGAAGAGAATTTGTGATTTCTCTGCCTAAAAATTTCCTGCTGGAAATAGTGTGGCTGGATAACTCTTCTGTCCAGCAAATGCTAAGCTGGGCAGGACATAGGGCCCGCAGCAGCAGAGTGAGGTAGGCAGTGGTGCTCTGGGGAAAGTGACTTAGGGGAGCTCCTACAGAACTCTGCCTTCTTCATTTCCAAAATATAATAGGTTAGGGTGGGGGTAGGTTTTGAGGAAAAGATGGAAGGAAAGAAAATAACCACAAATGGTCACTGGCTCTCTGATTGGCACACCACTAGCTGATCTCATTTGATTATTTCACCAATGACAAAGAGGCGGGGTGGCAGTATCTGATTGAGAGACCTCTTCCTCTGTCCTCATATTTTCAGGTTTCCATCACAGACCCTCCCAGACTCAATGTCATACTCCTATCCTCAGAAGAACCTGTTCCATTTTATGATTGGTAGAGTACCAAGGGTCTGCGTACCCACTGGCTCACTGTTCTTTTCCCAGGTGATTTGAGGTCATCGAGTCCCCTCTTCTGCTTCTTGTTTTTGAAGTGATATCATGTTCTGTCTAATCTCCATGATCTCTTCTTTGTTGCCAAGAGTGACCTTTGGGGAAGACAGATGGTTATGACTTTCTAGCTATTTTGTCTGAATTTGGTTCAGTTTTTGGAAAGGGTAAAATATTAGATATATTAGGAATTAATGACTCTTGATTCCCAAATCAAGATGCACCAGTTATTAAGCTGATGTTGCCTCCCCCAACCCCACCCCAATTTGTCTCATGTCCATTTTAATTGAAGGAGGAGAAAAGCATTTAGTATTGACCTGTTCAAATCTCATCCATTTTACCTATGACAAAACTGAATCCACTCAGTTTATAAATGACAGAGCAGGGATTAAACCAAACTGTTTTTGCATGCTCTAGTTCTGTTCAGGTTGAACAAAGGGGGGGGGTGAAATCTTATAGGCAAATGATGTGATTCCAGTTACCATGAGTCATGAATTCACTTAAGCCAGCTTTTGATGTCCTGCTTGCTCCCAGGCTATCAGTTCAGGAAGGCTCTCTGCTCTATTCCCACGAGGTATATTCTGAGATGGTCTTCTCATGGGCCCTGCTGGGAAAGAATGAAACACTAACATGGCAAACCCCCTTCCTTTTCCCAAAGATTCCACTTCTTTTGATGACAGCAACTTTCCTAATGGGGAACAGGAAAAGGGTCAAATTTTTCTGCAGGATCATTCAAGCCCTTTCCCAGGACAGGATGATCCTTGGGAAAGTTATGGGACTGTCCCTGCAGGTTCTACCAAGCTCTAGGCTACAGAGAATTCTTGACTGTTTTCTCCTCATCCTAACCATCATCCTCTTCCTGTCCCCTCTCTAAGCACAGGCACCCATGGGAGGATGCATTGCATTTAGGCCCAAAGTAAGACTTTATTGCTTCATTTGCTCTTCACAAAAGCTCTGCTGGTCCATGTTCCCAAATAAGAAAACTGTGTCCCAGAGAGGTAATGAGCAGTGTCCCAAGCTTATCAGATGTAGATGGTGACTAAGGGATTGCTAAACATAGGGTCTGGATCTTCTGACTTCTGGTCCTCCTGACATGGTAAAGAGTGGGTATATTTTAAATATTGCATTCCAGCATACAAAACAGAAGAGGAGTCCATTGGGTTTCCTTGTCATTGCCTTTTTTGGTATTCAGAAATACTCAATATCTTTGAGGTAGCACTGAGGCTCAAAACTGAAGTGAGATGGGAAAATCTGATTACTCCAAAATGACTAAGTATAGACATTTAAAAATATCCAAATCCACCCTGTGAGTTGTCTGTGAAATATATGTGCTTTCAGAACTGTGAGACATGTTAAGTTGGGGACCAATATGACACATGGCTGGTAGTTTATGGGAAAATGCTGAGCTGGGCTTGGCTGCTGCCGAGACCTAATCAGTGGGTTTCAAGGCCTCCTGGGCACAGGCGCTACCTTCCTACTAAGACCAGAGTAAGGACTCTAGAGGTTGGCTGGGGTGAGATGCTTAAGAGATACAGTCAGGGGAGCTCCTACTCATTCTGTGCACTTTAATTAGCCTTTGAAAAGAAACAAAAACCAATGCTTCTGGCAATATGTTGTATATCTTGAAAAGACAATACACATAGACCAAATACTAATGAATATCTCTGCACAGTCTATGTACTACTTTGAGTATAGATAGATTAGTGTCACATCAAAAATAAATCCTTAAACTAATAAAAACAAAACACATCATAGGTGAAGCCCCAGTTCCTCCAATAAGGCTAGAACAAGAGAGAAAGATACTGACCTGAAATTTTATCTGGGATAATCAATATAATTTTTAATGACTCTTTCTTTCCCCTCCCCACCAGATTTCCAATTTAGAAATGCATGAAACACAGAACATCTGACATGGAGGTAAGGATTTAGTTTGGTAGATTGCTTGGCACTGACACTTGTTTAGACAAAAATGTATCAGTAGAACATGTTGGTTTTCAAAATAAACTTTCGAAGGAACAGAGATCCAAAATATAATTTATCTTTTGAAGAAAAATGGCTTAAAAATTTTGCAAATTAATAAAATAAATTTGTTTCCTAACTATCATAGAGTTCCTCATTAGGATTATTAAAAAAATATAAAATAAAAAAGAAAATGAAATCTCTATCTACTGACATAGACAGGCATCTAAGTTTGGGCTCTCTGGACCTACTTTGATAACTTACTACTCAAAGCATAATATGATAACCAGCCCCAAAGAATCACCCAGGAGTTGGCTAGAAATGCTGAATCTTAGGCTCTACTCCAGACCTTCTGAATCAAAACGTACATTTAACAAAATACCTATGCAATTCTTATGCACATTAGTTTCCAGAGCTTTGGTACTTTGAGTTCTCAGAGCTGAAATTTGGGAAAAAATCCTAAACTAGATGCCAGACTAGACTTTGGAGTCACACATAGGAAGAAAGACTGCTGCTGTTTGAATGACAGTTTAGTTCCCAAACATACATATTTCTGTGAGTAACCAGCTGTCCTTTGGTATAAGTGGGTACCTCTGCCCCTGGGCCGTGGGTGAGTCACAGCATGTGATTTATCTGACAAAGGACATATATTTAGAAATAAGTGATTGCCAAAAGAAAGGGTTTGAAGAAATATCACTCATATCTGGTTTTCATTATAAAATAATATTGCTGTTTTGCATGCTTTCTAGACTCCTTAGGGTATTCTATTGCCACTCTGAGGTTTTTTTTTTCTTTCTTTTTACATATTTAGAAGCTATTTAATAGAAACGTTGCGGCATGGAAACAAAAATATTTTTCTCACAAAATGTTCCCATTCAATAAGTTGCCACATATTTTTGTTCCATATGGCGCTTCATAAACTAACAGTATCTGTAGGCAATGCAATTGAGCAGAGGAGTACATTTATATGCTTAGAGTGGCAATATGAACCCGTGTTCAAGGTTTGTTTGTTTTTTTTGTTTGTTTTTGGCAAAAGATAATAGATGTTTAATTTAAAAAATATAATATCAAAGAGTAGTAAGCTAAATTCCTTAAAAGAGACTGTAGAGAAAGTAAATTCATTTATGTATGTCATTCATTCATCAAACACTTACTGATCTTTTCCTGGAATTACAAAGATGAATAAAACACTGTCCAAGACACTGAAGAACTCATCTCTAGTGCAGTGGTCGGCAAACTCATTAGTCAATAGAGCCAAATATCAACAGTACAACTATAGAAATTTCTTTTGAGAGCCAAAATTTTTAAACTTAAACTTCTTCTAATGCCACTTCTTCAAAATAGACTTGCCCAGGCCATATGGTATTTTGTGGAAGAGCCTCATGTGGCTCTCAAGCCATGGTTTGCTGACCACTGCTTTAGTAGAAGAGAAAGAAGACACCACAGAGTGATTTAGAGAGTAAGTGTGGGTATTCTGGGTGCACACAGGAATTCTCAGTGAACATGAGGGACGGGACAGGAGCTGAGAAAAGTCTTTCTGGAAAAGCAATTCTTTACAAAGCAAGCCATAAAGCTACCCGCTCAGGTCCCTGATCTGTATCAGTGAAGTCCTCTCTGACCATCTGATTTAAGCGCAATGGTAACCCCAAACCCATGCCCTCCTTATCATTTTATTGTGCTTTGTTTTCTCCGTGCAGCTTAATACCATTCATAATAGCCAGCCTCCCAGACAGACCTGAAAATCCCTGGATCTTGGTATCCATGCCCTTACATGATCCTCCTCCACATTTTATCAGGGTTAGGAATAACATAATATGACAGGCACCATGATATGTCACATCTCGATCTCTCTCTTTTCTTAGCAGCTGGCTTTCCCCAGAGTGAGCCATCTCAGCTGTGAGCAGCTCTTGTATAGGTCCACATGTTGAAGAAAAAAACCTCATGATAATGCCACATAAATGAACTTGGCAGCAGATCTCCCAAAGTCAGACATATCTCTAGATGAGACTGCAATCTTCATGACAACTGGATGTAACCTCGTGAAAGAGCAAAAGCCAGAACCACACAACTACTCTGCTCCCAGGCTCCGACTCTCATTTGTGAGATAATAAACCTTTGTTGTTTTTAAGGTCTAAATTTAACATAATTAGTTCCACAATAATACATAACTAATATATCTGGTACATTATACATTTACTTATTTTCCCTCTTCCCAAGTAAGATGTAACCTCTATGAGGACAATAACTTGCTTTATTCGTTGCTGTACTCCCATTTCCTATAGCACTTCCTAGATCATGGTAAATGCTGAATAAACATTTAAACCAGTGACTGAAGTCTCCTGACACTCAATCTAATAATTTGAGTGAGGATTTATAGTGTTTCCGTATACATAGGTCTTCATGATAAGGACTAGCTTTATTTCTCTTCTGATTTAACTGGTTGGGCATTTTGTACATGATGAATCCCACAACTACGTCATAAAAAGAACTCAACTAGACTTTCCAAAGAAAAAAAGCAGAGGCATAAAAGCTCATGTTTTTTGTTTGTTTGTTTGTTTTTTCAATCACACATCACAGGATAACAGATTTTCCTTCATAGGTTCTCACCACTGCCAATGGCAACAGACCACTATTGCGACTGGCCATCAACACACAGTGGTGCTAGACCACCAGAACTAGCTGCTTCTAGTAAAATATGGTCCCTGAAATTATGAGCCAAACAAACTCCATGGACATCATAGTCCAATATCTGTCTTCTAAGTGCATAGCCTTGGGTCCTATAGGATTATAGTCTTTAATGCTGGAAGAATCCTTAGACCAAATCTAAGCTATAACTGTGGGAACCCAAATGTCCAGAGTCCATTGAATTCAAAGGTAATCTAGAAGACCAAAGAAGCAAGCTGATGATCATGGGCAGGCCGAACTGACTGGGGACAACAAAAGCAAACCAGAAATGCCCCAAGGAGAGTCCGAAATCATAGCTTTCAGTAGTTAACCCAGCCTGTCCAACAGAATCACCTGGGGTTACAGTGCTGGTTATTAATTCACGTTTTTGTGTTTTGTTTTCCTTCCATGTACTACTTTGAAATGCTAGTGTTGGAATGGTGCCAACAGCATTTCTCCTTTACCAACTCTGACAATAGGTAGCAACAGAGAAAACGGAAAAGATGGAATATAAAGAAGGGCTTTTTCTTCACTCTGCTCCACTTCTCTATTAGTGTCACCAGGCTCTACCAGTTAGTTCCAGTAGGAAGTTGGTTTTAGTTTCCAGTTTTGCCACAATCCCAGAACTATTTGCATCTGAGGTACAAGTAAGTTCTAGCAAGCCTGTTCCTCTGAAATCTGGAAGTCTAAGAGGTCCTTCCGCTGAGGTCAGACACCAGCAAAAGCTGGCAGCACACTCCCCAGAGGCCAGGGTCTCAGCTCTACCGGGCCCCTAGCCCTGATTTCATTCCTTTGTTTACCCTCCCTTCCTTAGAGGTAGTAGCTGCTTCCTGCATTCTCATTAACTGGTTAACTGTTAAAATTATTTGAATTAATTTTTTAGGTCCTGGTTTATGAGTCCTGATTGGACTCCTGACTGTAGGCATATAAAAATATACAGATGTCTGGAGTTTTCCATAACCTAATGTTGATTTAATTGGTCTGTTGTGATTAGACAGAGTATTAGTGACTTTAATGTATAGCCAATTAAATGCATATTAATGTATAGAGAACCTAGCATTCTTCTTACTTCTATAGAATGGTCCAGCTGACTTAAAATGGAGGGGGAGAGGTACTCAAAGCAGGACTCTGAACTGTCTTCATTTTAAATGAGTCCTTCAGCTGCCTATACTTGTGTTTAGCAGAAACCACCTTTTTTAATTTGACGGCATCCTTCTCCCATTGATGAGTAAAGATTCATTTGGCTATTCACACCTCCAACTCCTTGGAACACATGGTACCAACCATTTGAGCTGGTTCCACCTATCTGTTTCCATATTCAGACTGTCCCTATGCTGTAGGTCAGTGGTCAGTAAACTCATTAGTCATAGTCAACAGTACTAAATATCAACAGTACAACGATTGAAATTTCTTTTGAGAGGCAAATTTTGTAAACTTAAACTTCTTTTAACACCACTTCTTCAAAATAGACTCTCCCAGGCCATGATATTCTGTGGAAGAGCCACACTCAAGGGACCAAAGAGCCTCATGTGGCTCTCGAGCCAGTTTGCCGACATGGCAGTAGGCAGTTACATAGACCTGAGCAGAGCAAGGATGATGGGCCAGGTACAGATGGTCAGCAGTCTGGAAAGCACAGGTGTCTAGCAACGGACAATCAAAGGGTGGGACCTTGCCCCCAGGGTGACTTTTCCTCCCCTAGCATATCACTAGTCATGAGGTTTGGAACCCTTGACCTTTCCTCTCTCGAAATAACATTTAGGCCTTTGTTGTATTTTAGCTCCAGCGCCAGAAAACCAACAAAACCAGCCATTGCTGACATCAGGACCCGCTACATTGAACAGTGACCCCACTGCCTTGGTACCAGCCAATCAATCAGTGGAGACCACAACCCTGAATAGACACTCCTGGAAAGCTACTGAATATTCTATTAAGATCTTTCCCCTGAGGCCTCCCCTAAAATCTCCTTAAAACCCTTAGGATAGAGGACCCAGTGCGCTCTCCTTCCAGGGAGCACACCTGTGCCTGTCAATCACCCACCCCTCAGGTATGTTACCATTAGCTTACTCCCAACTCCAAGGACCCTTCCTTTATCTCCATAACTTGTGTCCTAAGCCCATTTCTTCTAGGAATTATTATTATTATTATTATTATTATTATTATTATTATTTTACCTCTGTAATTTACCAAATAAACGTTCTCCTACATTTTGGGTCTTACTCTGAATTCTTTCCTAGCCATAACCCAAGTACAGATGTTGCTGAACCCAGATTTGGTCTGACCCTATCAGTCAGCCAACTGGTGCCATTCCCAAAGCCTACAACACCTGAATATCCCATTCTGGGTGACTTCAACTGAGTCACAGAATTATGAAATGGATGTTTCCCTGTCAGTAAAGGCAAACCAAAGGCTAGATATTGGGTATTTGCCAAGAAAAAACAACTTGCATTTACATTCAGAGAATGTTAGGCCCCCAGAGCAAGGACAATAGGTCAGGTACAGAAACTCACCAGGGCAGGAAGCCCTAAATGCCACATAAGGGGCAAAACTGGAAAAACAAGAACCTGACCTTCAAGGTAACCTATCTTCCTCTAGCACCGTAGTCAGCAAACTCATTAGTCAACAGAGCCAAACATCAACAGTACAATGATTGAAATTTCTTTTGAGAGCCGAAAACAGACTTCTGTGCATGGGCCACGAAGTTTCAATTGCACTGTATGTACACATCCGCATGTGGTATTTTGTGAAAGAGCCACACTCAAGGGGCCAAAGAGCCACATGTGGCTCTTGAGCCGCAGTTTGCCGACCACTGTCCTAGCACATCATTGGTCAGGCAGCTTAAATTCCCTGACCTTTTCCTTCCTAAAGATAACATTAAGGCCTCACTTGTATTTCAACTCCAGGCCCAGGAAAGCAGCAAAACTAGACAAGTGGCACCTGCCTGCCTTAGGACCAGCTACATTGACTAATGACCCCACCCTGGTATTTGACCAATCAATGGAGACCACAATCTTTAAAGAACACACCTGGAAAGCTGATCAGTATCCTAATAAGACCTCCCCTAAGATTTCCTCTAGCCTAGCAAGAGAGACAAATATGCTCAGAACAATAGACTCAGTGCAGGCTCTCCCTCCAAGGAGCATGCCCCAGCCATTCCTCCACAGGCACATAGTCCCAACTTCTAAGGGACCTCATGAGACTTGCAACCGGGGGAGCAATGAGCAGTGGCAGCTCATCCTGGGCGAACCCCTTTATCCGTGTAGCCCCTCCCTTTGGATATGCCCATCTCCCATCCCCAATTTCTTCAATCAGTGGATGAGATGTCTATACACTACTGATTTTAACCTTTCAGAGAATACCTATAGTACATGGGTCCTTTGTGTGCAAATCCAACTCCCTAGCTCCTGGTTTTCATTAAATATTTCATGTGTGTGGAAAAGTTGTCAACATTACTAATGGTGTTTCTGTTTAATTTCTTGATAATTTACCATCAAATAAACTCCCAGAAAGGAGTTCTGACCAACTGGATGGGACCTCCAAGAAAAGGACCAGTTGTTTCTGCAAAGGCAATGCTTTTCAATTTTGAAAAAGCTTAGGAATGTAAGGACCTAGTGATTTGCCAGGAAACATTATGGAAGGCAGCTAAATGGATCTTTCCAGCACAAAGGCTTTCTGTTTCAGGTTTCTGCATAACGTCTCTTTGAATCAAATAGGGAGAGGCACTTCCTAAAAAATCACCACCTTCCCCCTAAATGGACTTTTCTCTGCGGGGCTGTCTTGTACTAACCAGACCATGGCATTCTGCTGACCTCAGATGGCATACATCTCAACAGACAGCATGTGTGGATCCCAGCCACCACCCTCTCAAACCACATAACAGTTCAGAATAAAAGGCAATAAAAGGGCATAAGCAGCCTCACAGGAAATTGGTAAAATGACAAAAGATGTGCACACACACAGACTCTAAATCAAGCCACACACACATTTATTTGCCCTGCTCTGTTCTCATCTCTCAGAGAGAAGCCGAGACCCGGCACCTCTTCTACCTGTTATTTCTTTAAGGAAATGAGATTTGAGACATGATAGACTTGAGAAGAAATGTGTTTAAGCAAAGCTGCTTACAACCTTTCAAGTGTTTCTAGTTTCTGCTAGGGAGAAAAACACGGGGAAAATATTAACAAGTAAAGGGGATAAAAAGCTTGAAATGGATTAGAAATAAGACATATTCCTTTGATCTTCCATATACTCTGATTTGTTTAGGGTTTTGGGAGAAGCAGCCTTAGGGGGTGAGTTGCAGATGTCTAGAGATAGGAAGACGTGGTGGGACAAAACATTATTTGAACTAATTGCTTTAGTGCCAGAAATATCAAATTAGTCAGGAATGCTTCCACCATGACGTTGTGCTATCTAGAAACTTTCCATGTCTTTCCAATGCCCACTGAAAAAATCCTTAAAGTTGGATTCCATCACAGTTTTGTACCAACTTCCTTTTCTTTGTTTTGCCACCTGGAACTGTGCCATGCAAACGCTCCCTTTTAGCCTTCAGGATTCATGTCTCGCACCAGTAGCCCAGAGCACTCAGTTGCATATCTCAGCTCCCCATGTATTAGCAACTATGCGACCTGAGACGAATTCCTCTGCCTCCTGAACTTCCTTGCCCTCATCTGTAAACTGAGAATGATAGTCATAATGAAAGTCATAAGGCATGCATGTCCAGTAACCAACAGTCCCAGTTTGTCCAGGACTGAGGGGCCTCCTGGTCTGCAGGGTTTTCAGTGCTCACCCAAGTAATCCCACCCAGACTAGGATGAGTGGGTCTTTATGACACATTGCAAATAAAACATTCAGCAATGTGCTTAGTGTAGAATAAATATGATGATAATCACATACATATTTCTCTTTCCTAAACCTGCCTTGCATTTCCTCCCTCCAAGCTTCTGTCCCCTGCCACCTCAATGCCCACCACTGGAACCTCTTATCCCTGTGGTCAGCAAACTGCAGCTCATGAGCCACATGCGGCTCTTTGGCCCCTTGAATGTGGCTCTTCCACAAAATACCACAGCCTGGGCAAGTCTATGTTGAAGAAGTGGCATTAAAAAAAGTTTAAGTTTAAAAATGTGGCTCTCAAAAGAAATTTCAATCATTGTACTGTTGATATTTGGGCTCTGTTGACTAATGAGTTTGCTGACCACTGTCTTATCCTTTCTTCTTTGCTTGTAAAAATCCTATTCATCGTATTTCCCTGACCAGACTGGACCCCAGTGAGAGTGGGTCCTGTTTATTTAGACGTGTGTTTTCTACAGCTCTTGGCAAAGTTACTGTCACACGGTCAGGGGTGCCCCATGTATGTTTGTAAGTATATTAACTAAAAACCATTTTTCACTGTAGAAAAAAAAAATCACATCACTAACTATACCAAATGGGCAGAAAATACATATGCCCTGCAAGTATTTGCTGCGTAAGTGGCAAACATGCATGCCACAGCAGCCAGATTTAATGCCAAAGTATCAAGTAATAAACTTTGCTGTGTATTCACTTGCACAATTGTTATTGAGTTGTTTCCGTATTTCATCAATTATCACACCTAAAAGGAACAGGTATATCATTCAGAGGAATCAGGGAATTGTTAGCATCACTGGAAGAAATTATGACATTTCAGGGTCATGCTTTTGCGCTGCTTAGTGGAATGTTTTAGAATGTTCTTTTTGGAAGGGATTGTATTTCACCATTTCCTTTGTGTAAATATAACACTTAATTACCAACACAAAGAAACCATTCTCTGAGAACTAAATTGCTTATTAACAAAAGATTTGAAATGGACTGGAGTTTCAAAAGGCAGAAGAAATTGAAGACATGTATCTTTAAACAATAATTACACAGCTGAAAATTATATACTGAACGTAATTTTACAGATTCAATTTTCTTGTTACTGGCGGAAAGATGGAAGATTAATTCTATAAATTTAAAAGTGTCTGGATTTGTTTTTTCAAAACTTGACTTAAAATGGTGATACTTCAAATTTGGAGGTAGTGTTCCTTATTCCACAGTTCAATGGACAATCGTTTGAAGAGATAAATCCACTTTTATGGTGACAGTCTCAGAAGAGTTTATGAGCAAAACCAGCCTTTTATTTGCTTATGTCTTTCCATCCATTACAATTGGAGCCACATGGAATGCTGATTATTAAATTTTCAGAATCAAGCTTATTATGTTTTCCATCTCATCCCAGAGTTCATCGAATCTGAGACCCAACCATAATATGTGGATGCAAGTGCTATGGTTTTCTTTTGTTAATACAAGCATATGTTATTTTCCTCGGTTCCAATTCTTAAAATAAAAATTGCATCATAGGTTCTTTAAATCCAGAATGACTGGCAAGTTCTGAATTCAATTTAGAGGAATGGCAATTCACTCTAGCAGGACTAGAGGAAGAAAAGCTTAAGGTTAAGAGTGGTATCTGACCCACTTAGCCAAGACAACAGGAGAAAAGGGGTTGTGAAGATTCTTTAATACCAAAACCTTCCTCAAAAGATATACTTAGCCACGGCCTCCCTAAGTCTTAGAATCTTTAATAAAGCATCTGCAATAGCCCTGACTGGTGGTGCTCAGTGGTTACGACATCAGTCCATGCACCAAAAGATCACCCTGCTCAAGGGCACATAACTGGGTTGCAGGTCTGATCCCTCGCCCTGGTCTGGGCGCCTGCAGGAGAAAACCAATTGATGTCTCAATGTCTCTTTCTCCCTCTTCCTCTCCCTCCCTTCCATCTACTCTTTCTAAAAACCAATGGAAAAATATCTTCAGGTGAGGATTAATAAAACAAAACAAAAAAGAGTCTGCAATAATTATCAGCCATAGAAGGTCTAAATAACTAGGACCTTGTGTGACTGACCCCTACCCCAGCCACACACACACATGCATCCATGCTATTTAATGATAAAAAGGTAAAGCAGAAGTAAAGAAGACACAAACAAACGAAAAAACCCCTCAGATATTAAAAAATATTTGTTATATATCCTTGATTCAATAAATATTTAGTATAACTGGCAAGTTTTTATCATAATATATGGCAGAACTACTATTTTGTGACTGATAGCTGTTCACCCCCAGGAAGAAATACCTCCCAAGA